GCGTTAAATTGGATGAAAACTTTAAATCATTTGGAGCAGAGCCTCGGGAGAACGACTCTGCTTCTCACACCTCATCTGCACAGACGGAGGGGGTGTGTGGGTGGGTGTGGGCTTGGTCAGATGGAGAGGGGTGTGGTCAGGACAAAAGATGGGGTTTTTGCACTGGGGTCAGTATAAAAGGGAGGGAGTATAGAGGGCGGGGTCAGGACAAAAGGGAGGGGTTCTGTGTGGGTGGGATCAGTACAAAAGGGAGGGGTTTTGTACTGGGGTCACCCTGTGTTTGATTATCTTCCGACTCCCACTTGGACCATAAATTTGACGTCATGTCCGAGCTTCAAGCGTATTATTATGTTTTGTGTGTCGGACTACATGGATTATGATTATGACTATTCCCTCATCTTATGAAAACGCTGCCACTAATTACATTTTTGAAATTTACACTTCATTTTATGTTATGATTTCTCTTCTGTTACAACCTTAGGGACGTTAACGCCCGTTAAATCAAGTATTTGTTCGATATTGGCCTCACCACAACACTGACTCCCACACATATAGGCAGTGATATGGACGCGGTGAGGTAATGCAGTGATATGAGTGACTGAAGTGTCCAAACGCAATGGAAACACTTCATATTTACACGTCACAGTGAGTGCATCCATCATGGATTCTGACTTGGAATCCTTGCTTGGTCTACTTTTTCCACCACCGAGGTCTGAGTCACTCTGTCCCAGGAAAAAGGGCGTGTCAGGCATGTCACAAGGAAACCAATTTGGAAGGATAATCAAACGCAGGGTTAGTATAAAAGGGAGGGAGTACAGAGGGTGGGCTCAGGACAAAAGGGAGGGGTTCTGTTTGGATGGGGTCAGTAGAAAATGGAGGAATCAGACAGAGGGTGGCGTCAGGACCAATGGGAGGTACTAAACATTTGGAGACACATTACACTAAGTCCCATTTGTCCCCGCATATATTTAGTTGACGTTAATTACACCATTTAAAAGTTAGTGTGCATTTATTAACCATGTTTTTATACAAAACCAAAGTAATTGATATTGGTATCTCATAGCTCATTAGAAAAATTTCTTAAATCCTGCGAGACAATAATGCACAAAAAATAGAGGCTCACAACAGTTTGACTGTAAAATATTACTTTAATTTCATCAACCACCACAAATTCTACATACATTAGTGAACTGGAGCTGGAAGTTAGATATTGGCTAGTATTACTCACTGGCAAATGTAACAAACATGTAAACAAGAAAATTTTTTCTCTGTCTACAAACATCAAATTCATTTATTTATTTTGCTGTTCTTATTTTGCTGTATTAAAATGAATGGGATAGAATAGAGATAGATGGCCAACTGATATATTTGGCCGATATTTGCACTTTTTAGCGTTTGACTCTTGGCCTACAATCTCCAGCTGAGGCTGATCACATAAAGCTCTACTTGAACACTTTAATGAAAAAAGATATTACACAAAACGTTAATGCGCAACTTTCTTTTAGGTTGATGGTAAGAAGGGCTGTGGGTGAGATTTTAGTGGATTTAAACTACAGAATTTAGGGGAAATAATAAAAATCAGCCCCAAATATCATGCCAAAATATGGGCAGAGCTTATCGACCATTGGTTACTCTTGGACTCTAAACAATCGGTACTGCCATTGGCCATGAACAAGTCGATCTCTAGGACATAATATTCTTATCAGTAGCATGCCGTGTTCACAACAATTCTAAACACAGCACTCCTAGAAGGCGGATTAGTCTATTTACCCTCATTTTAGCCCCTGTATCTTTCAGTGCTGCAAAGTGGTTCAAAATGTGTGAATTTCTCCAAAGTTGTGGTCATCAGCGTTTACTGAGTCTCGGGCTGCGGGCCACACTGTCTCCCTTGGGTGCTCCTCATCCTTCCCTGACTCAGACCTAGCAGGCGAAAATATCCACTGCACCCACCGCCTCAGGGAAAGTATTAATGTCTGAACTAATCCGATTAACATTAACAATCCCAAAGGGTAAATCTGCCACTCACTGATAACTTAGGCTGGGACACATGTTTTGCTTTCCGCTTTGTTTTTTTCCCTGGTTTGGGGAAATTTCTGAATCTTTGCGCTGGAGAAGTCACATTGGTGGAGGACACTGTTTGGTCAGGGGATATTTAGTTGGGGTATGGGCCAAGATTTGAATGAGATTTGGAGTTTCAGTTATTAGATATGGTACAGTGCATTTGATTAGGCTCAAGTTTAATTAGTAAACAGTCAAATGAATACAAAGCTCTTTAAGAATATTTAATTATGACTTAAGTAGGCGTGTCACAATATAAAATGTTTGTGTTATGATTAGTGTGAGAGGAAATTATTTCACAAAGACTGAAATCCTTCATTTATTCACCTAGTCTAATAGATATAGTTTCAAAAATTATGTTAAAGGGTCCACGATTTCCTGATCTATGTTCTAATGTAGTTAGACCTGGAGTTGTGTTTTGTTTCATTTACACATGTTTAACACACAAACTCTGCATATTTAGGTTGAGTTATTCTCTCAAACGGAAAACTTAAGGTAAAAGGAGCTGTTAACTTGTAAACTACTGCTTCATGACATCACAAGATGTCATGAAGCAGTAGAACAGAGCATTTAGAGTTTTGAAGATGTAGACAGACTTATAAACTAGGATCAAAGATGTGAGTGAACAAAATTTTGTGTACCGTATTTTTCGGACTTTAAGTCGCTCCAGAGTATAAGTCACACCTGCCAAAAAATGCATAATGAAGAAGAAAAAAACATATAAGTCGCACCGGACTATAAGTCACACTTTTTGGTGAAATTTATTTTATAAAATCAAAGACCAGGAACTGACATTTCATCTTAAAAGTCAAGTTCTAGTAATAACAACAGAACAGAGAACAACCGACTGTTAACGTCACATATGAACAGTTCTTCAGATAAACTATAACATAAACAACAGAACAGAACAAGTTTACCAAACTCTCCATCTCACTCCAAATCACTAAATCCACTGAATTCTTCATCCTTGGTGTCACTTCTGAGAAACTCCATGACCTCCAGAGGTAAACGGAGCGCCACTTCCTCTTCTGTGCAGCAGTCGTCAGACTCATCATCAGTTAGAATTATTCCAGCCTTTCTGAATCCCGACAGGATGGTTTTGGTTGTCATTGAAGTCACTTAAATTAAAAATTTTGAGTGGTACAGAAGTAATGGTGTAATCAACTGACATGATACAGAGGCTCTTTCTGCAGGAGACATGCGCAGTAGAACCAAGTGACAGTGGTACAAGAGTAATAGGAGCAGCAGATACTGACACACAAGTCTAGAGCCTCTCGCAGCCGTCAATGTGAACATTTTAATATATATGTCGCACCAGAGTATAAGTCACAGGACCATCCAAACCATGAAAAAAAGTGCGACTTATAGTCCGAAAAATATGGTAATATAGGAACTTTAATGTGACATAAACATACAGATATAAATCACTTTACATTGACTTTTTATGCTCCTTAAAATTATGTTGTTTTTTTTAGTTCTTGCAATACAGTATCCAATATTTATCTTGCCCAAAACCAAAAAGATATTTCCCAATGTTAGTAACACTTTAAAAAAAATCATAGCAAGTGCCACTCTATTGCATATGCTCAAGTTCTGTGAGTTCAGTTCATGGGCTGGTGTGAAAGCGCCTGTTTCATTTGGTGCAGACTTCTGGAGCAATACTGTTCCAAGTGAACTCCAGTGTGGTTTATTTGTGATAAATGCTAATCGGCGGCCCAACAAGCACTTTTTCTGTGCTTATACTGTACTTTGTGAAATCAGGTACAAGTCCACAAATCAACTTACACAAAGGTACAAATCCACAAATCAACTTACACAAAGGTACAAGTCCACAAATCAACTCAAATAAAGGTACAAATCTACAAATCAACTTAAATAAAAATAGCTTTTATCTTGAATAGCTTAAAAATCCTTTTTTTTATGGTGATGCTGCCATCTCTTAATCTTCTTTGCTCTTCTATTTCTATTGTAATTTACTCTACTGTATTTGAAAGGACACATGTGATGCACTGGACAAAGTGAAAATGACGCATACACAGAAAATACACTGACGGTACATCTTAAGCCGGGCGTACACTGTGCGATTTTTGGTCTTTTTTGAGCCATTTGTTTCACTGGTGTGACTGATTTTGGGATCGGGTCGAGTTTTGGCTTAATTGTGTTGTACTTCGTGTAGTAAACATGAGGTAACGAGAACCGATTAATACCTCACAACCAGCTCCTGATCGGCAATCGTAGGTTGCAAGAATATCAAACCTGTTTGAAATCCAATCCCCTCTCATTTCACACTGTAGAAGTTGTTCGTACAGTGTAAGAACATGAATCGTGAGCTGTGAACTTTTAAACCCTGCAATTTGGTCGTACAGTTTGAGCTGGGGCTGAGTGAAACGATCGAAAATATCTCAGTGTATGTCTGGCATTAAGGAACTTAGAGATACCGATATTTGACCCAGTTTGCTTTGCCAACCAATAGCCGATACTGCACCAATATATTGTCTATTCATACTATTTATTAGGGATGTAACAATATCCAAATCGTTTGGTATGATATTATCACGATATGCATCTCACGGTATGATATTTATTGCGATATTTTGGAGAGGCTGATATAATTGTAGATAAGACACTTTTTTGCTTTTGAAATACCCTGACAAGGTTTTGGTGTGAATTATTACTGTCATAATCCCAAGAATTCAAGTAAAAAACATATTACTTCATGTTGTCTGCACTGAAATGAATCATGGGATATGTAGTTCCCGCTGTTTATTAGCTACTGCTACTGTAAAAAAAATGCATTTAAACAAAGGAACTTCTGATTCGATATATTGTGACAGCCCACGGTATTATTGTGAGACTTTTGACGATACAATATCACGACATTTAAGTTATTGTTACAGTCCTACTATTTACCATCTCACATTATTTTCTTACTGTTTTCCCAGGTGGGTATCCTGTACTTCCAGCCCAGTGTGTTCCGCTGTATCCTGCTCCGATGGGTGCGTCTGCTGGGCTTCGCTACAGTCTACGGGACGCTGACTCTGAAACTGTACAGGTAACAGCCCCATCCATCCAGCCATCCACCAGGGCCTGCTCCAACTGCACATTTCATTGACCCATTTCAGTGTAATTACAACAGGCCTTACATCTTCACCGCTTGTAATGCTTTAAGTAGACAGTTTGTCATTAGACTGTTAGAATGTACTGGCCTGGGCGGTTTTAGTGCTTTACTAAATGCTGAAGAGAATGAAGCTGGACGGTTTATTTTGAGGAGATATAGATATATATACATTTCTTTTATGCTTCTTACTATTTTTGACACCATAAAAACACTGAAATCATTCAAGAGCCCAAATTACCCTGTTTTTTAATCTAGGTTATAATGTTGTTTCCTCATCTAAATCATACCTGGTGTTATGTTTTGTTTCATTCACACGTTTAACACACAAATCCTGCACATTAAGGCTACGTTAATATGATCACGATCTGAACAGAAGACACGAAAGTGGCATCACATCTTCACTTTTTATTCCGTGTTAAGACGAGCGCTTTTGGGAGGAAATCTGCGTGCATACAGTGACGCAAAAGTGTGGAATTCAATTGGTATGTATTCCAGGCTTCTAGGAGGTGACGCTAGGTCGTGATGTATGTGATCTAAACGGTAAACGAAGGGTGGTTTCAGATTTTTGCGTTTTTAAGCCCCAAAACCGCCGTTACTGTTTAAACGAAAGGCACTTCCGATCAAATATATTGTCATTTTTATCAGCAAGTGTTCTGGTGTATACAGGCCTATAGGCTGTATTCGTCTCTTAAACAGAAAACACTGTTAATAGGGCTGTCGCGGTTAGGGAATTTCTCCTGCGGTGCGGTGTAGCGGCTCAACAGCGCGGTATGCAGTGATATCAGACAGTTCTTAGTCCTGGGTTATCACAGGCACGGGCAGTAACAGGTCCGGGCGGGTGCAGGTCTCTATAAATGGACCCGTGCAGGACTCAGGTCGGGTCACATTGGTCACGTGCGGTGATCGCGGTGACCCAACAATCACTTCTTAGTACCGCAGTGATTCATTTTTGCAGTTATTGCAACAGCCCAAACTGTTACTGTCTTAATACAGGAAGTGCTCCACTGTGTTTTTAAACTCCATACACCTTCACTAGAATCATTTGGATAAGTTCAGCCCTGGAATTGTCAAACATTACATGTAGCTGTTAACATGAAAGCAACCATTTCATGACATCATAAGGTGGCACAGAGCATTCTGAGCTTTGGAGATGTAGCCAGCCCAATAATAAAGGGTTACTCAAACATGTGTGAATGAACAACACAACAAACCACAACTTCGGTTATGCTTTTGATGAGGTAACAACATTCTAACATGGCTTAAAGCTCACGAGAGTCAATTCTGTATAATATAGGAGCTGTAAATATTAACATTTGCACTATAGAAAAATATATTTAAAAAACAGATTCTTCCTGACATCCATTTTGAGATCATGTAAGATGGAGGGCCAGTGAACTTATTGGAATAATACATAGTTGATAGGCCCTCATTAGCAGAGTGGACATGTACTAATGCGTCTGACAAATGTGGCCTAATAATAGTGTCCTGTTCCTATAAGATGGAGCTGGATTAATGACCTTATAATGAGCTTTTACAATGTGGGATGTAAGATTAGGCCCAAACGTGAAGAATTGCAGTATAGACAGTATAGACAATTGCTTACATGTCAAAATGTGACTCTCATTGTTTAATGTGAATGATGTTTTTGGTGTCATCGTTTTCAAGGCGCACTATGTAATGTTCCTGAATAAATGCGAGATACATTAAACGTGTCTGCCATCCTGTGGACCACATCCATTCTCAATATATGGACGGCACTAGCAACAAGGGTGTAGGTTTTGTGAGGTCGTGTCCGTACATTTTTCCATAGAATATTGTCGATAGACTCCGGCTGCTAATAGCGCACGAGTAGGGCTCCGTTTGGGAGGTGCACTTGTGGTGATAGTTGCCCTTTTTCTGCAGCGACTCATTATAAGGCAAGTTTAACTGAAGATGAAGCCAAGTAAATTCCGTTGAAAAGTTTTTCAAAGTTTGGTGCAGCGTCTTCACTCACTCTGCTCAAGACTCGATCTTCAGGTGCTGTCACTGTCCTCCCGCTTCCCCAGTTTAGGCTCCTGGCTCCACTAATGACATCACTCTGTTGCAGCCAATGAAACAGCGGCAGTAATAACCCTGTCGTCATATCACTGAATACATATCAGAACGTCTAATAAACTAAATGTGAACTAAAACATGTTCAATTAATACTATTGAGTTTGGAAAAATATTGGAATAAATTAATATTTTTATTTATTAGAATAAAATGGCAAATATTGGTAGGGACTATTTTGTCTTCCCAAAATATTGGTTGTCATGTCCCCACCGTCCCTATGCAAACCAACACCCTTGAATAGCACTGACTCGTGATCGGCAGATGCTGGGGTTTAGGTAGTGAACATTCAGACTTGAGAAAGGATTTTATGTTTAAAACAACTGGATTTCAACACTGAAACTGGCAACCCAAATCTCATTCTGCTTTCTGATTGGATAACTATCTTGAGAAATTATAACAAAAACATCATGCACATCATGTCCAGGATTATAATTGTTACAAGCAAGTGGAATATGTGATTTGAACATGTCAAATTTGTATCTGGGGACACAGTTAGGTCATGTTTATGGAATAAAAAAATAATAATAATAATATAATTTATAATTATATATATTATATATATATATATATATATATATATATATATATATATATATATATATATATATATATATATATATATATATATATATATGGGATATTGCTAGTCAAGACATAAGCAGTGGAGTATACTTTAGTAAAATCTGAAAACAGAAATTTCCCCAATGTGGGACAAATGTACATTATCACATGCTATCTTAATGCTTGGCTTGTGGAACACACCTCTCTCTTTGTGCCGTCAGAGTGCTGAAGGTGTTCCTGTCACGCACGGCCCAGAGGATCCCGTACATGACGAGCTGGCGGGTGCTGCGTCTGCTGGCCATCATCTTGCTGGTGGTGCTGTGGTTCCTGGTGGCCTGGACCTCAGCCGTGTGCCAGAGCCCGGAAAGGAGGTGGGCCCTCATCGATGTGGGCTACACCCCTGAGGGACTGCAGTTCAGCATGTGTCTGCTGGACCGCTGGGACTACATGATGGCTGTCGGTACGTTCCCACTCACAGCACTAGAGTTAGGTAATAATGTGTGGGATGCTATGGGTTATATGAGGTACTGCAAGTAAAGACTGTTGGAGAAGATTGGGAGTTCAGTGGATGCGAAGCAGTGTGGTTTTGAAATGGCAGTGGCTCAAAAGGAAGAGCTGTCAGGTTGCCGGATCAAATCCTCGTTTTCCCTGTATTAAATGTCTCACTAGTGCAGAGTGAAAAGATGGATGTGACTGTAAAACTGTATGAGGTATCAAAAAGTACTAAGGCATTTAAAGGCACAGTATGTGCACTTCTGGAGGTGGCACATCATCTGCAGGATGCCATGGAAATAGAAAGTTAAACCATACCTTGGGACATTCTCCATGGAGATAGTTACGTTTTATACCATACTGTGGGAGATTATAGCCAAAGGAAAAACATTTCCATGGGAACAAGCAGGAGGAGGCCCTCCTCCAGGCCAAACAAGATTCAGGCAAACCTACAGTCAGGACACATGTTTTTCAGAGCAATAAACAACAAAAGTGAAGAAAAACATGCTTTTATTTTAGTCTTTTTTTTTCTTCTTTTTTTTTTTGGCTAAAATGTTACATACAGTGGCTTTAATGTGCAGACAATGCATTAAAATGCTGATATCACATATTATTAATAGTAAACACTGCAGGCCTGTAAGAAATATCCGGTTAAGAAAACGCTGCTCATCTATCAGTGATATCATTAGTGTCTATAGTACTACTAGCATACGCAAAGCACACATGTAGTAATTATGTTATTATGTTCGTTAGAACAATGAGTTACTGCCAAGTCATGGATAATGCAATTATAAAACATAAATTTTACTTAAGTTAGTTAAGTGAAGCAATTATAAGTACTATCAGTTTCCCCATCAAATCTTTACAGCGACATACTGTGTGTGCTGTGTTTACAGTGTCACACTGTAAAAATAGAAGGCTATATTAGGATACAGGTGAGCTTTTGACGTCAGCATCAGGAGACAACTCAGGCAGGATATACTCTACACCTGCATTCACTTCATCACTGCAGTATGGAATAAAATGGTCCCAGATAATGATTGAGAAATGTTTTTTAGGTTTTTTTGTTTTGTTTTAAATTATCACCTAAACGTGTATTTCAGAGTAGGTTTATCAAATTTATCCAAAATCAGATACTAATCAGTGCTAGAACTAGTATCAAAACTAGATACTCATTTGAGCAGGTATCAGTACTAAAAAAGTCACAATGAACCTTTCCTGAATAGTTTTACAATGATCTTGAGCTGTATCAGAACAAGTATAAGAGCACATAGACTAGTATACACACATGGACCTCTATGGACCTACCTGGACCACTGAGGGATTACACAGATATAAGACCACATGAGAATAGAAAAGAAACTACTAGTATTTCATGTTGAAAATGACCACCATTTTCGTTATTACTTTTTTGAATGTTTTCCATGTTTTTTTTAGGTAATAGAAACAACTGTACTTGAATTAATTGTAAGATAGATATGTTCAGTGTCATATTGTGGAAAATTTCAAAGTATCATCGTCATGGAAACTATACTTTCTATATCATATTATTACTATTTATCTTCTAAGTACCACAGACAGTTCTTATAGATTCATAGTTCTAGCCACACAGATACATTTCAGCTGTGTAAAATAATTCAAACACACAAACCCAATGATACCACAAGTGACGTCATCCTTTCTTACTTTAATTTCAAATAATCAATATTACGAAACAAACAAGCCCAAAATATCAATACTGGAAACATGATACTTTTACTTCACTCTTCAGCATCAAATATTCATGTTAGTATTTTGGTCTCCCATGTCCTCACACAACCTTAAAGCAATATCCCCTCTGCTGCCTGCTCTATTGTGGAGTCCAAGAGGCCATTTTGGTACGTGGTTTTATTGAATGTGAGCGGATGTCTCAGTGTACCGGCGCAGTGGTGGTGCTGCCGTGGTAACAAGCCTGAGTTGTCATGGAGGAGAACTGGGATTTGATTCATAAAGTGCCCAGAGAATACTCCAGCTAACACAATCTCCTATCTCTGCTGGTTATTCCTATGTGTATTAAAAGTACACATGAGCGATGTACTTTGTCATACAAGGGAAGAGGTAACAGCAGTAGTGTTATGTAGTATTTGTAGGAGTTAGTGGTAGTAGTAGTAGTAAAACGGATCAAGATTTATTAAGCTGCTTCTAAAAATAGTAATAGTTATGTGTGTAAAAGTACAGAGCAATGTACCATTGTACTAGGCAGGAGGTAGAAGCTGTAGTATTATTGGTAGTGGAGTAGAAGTATTATTAGTGTTAGAGTAACTGTTAGTAGTAAAAGTATTGCACATGTATTAGGCTGCTGCTATAAAATGAGCAGTACTACTACTACTACTACTGGTAGTAGTTGTAGTTGTAGTAGTTGTTGTAGTAGTAGTAGTGTAAAATCTGTGCAATGTACCATCATACAGAGCAGTAGATTTATGTAGTATGTGTAGGAGTTACTGGTAGTAGTAAAAGTAGTAAATGTGATGAGCACGTATCTGGCTGCTTTTTTAAATTAGAAGTAGAAGTAGTAGTAGTAGTAGTAGTTGTAGTTGTAGTTGTAGTTGTAGTTGTAGTAGTAGTAGTAGTAGTTGTAGTTGTTGTAGTTGTAGTAGGACAAAAAGTATCTGAGCACTGTATTTTCATACAGAGGAGAGGAGCTACAAGGAGTATTATTATGTAGTATCTGCAGGAGTCACTGGTTGTAGTAAAAGTAGTAAATGTGATGAGCACATATCTGGCTGCTTTTATAAATTGGTAGTAGTAGTAGTAGGAGTAGTAGTAGTAGTAGTGTAGTTGTAGTAGTAGTAGTAGTAGTAGTAGTTGTAGTAGTAGGTAGTAGTAGTAGTAGTATCTGCAGTTGGTTGTAGTAAAAGTAGTAAATGTGATGAGCACATATCTGGCTGCTTTTATAAATTGGTGGTAGTAGTAGTAGTAGGAGTAGAAGAAGAAGTAGTAGTAGAAGTAGCAGTAGTAGTTGTAGTAGTTTTAGTAGTTGTAGTAGTAGTAGTAGTAGTAGTAGTAGTAGTAGTAGTAGTAGTAGTACAAAAAGTATCTGAGCAATGTACCATCATACACAGGAGAGGAAGTACAGTGGTTTTATGTAGTATCTGTAGGAGTTAGTGGTAGTAGTAAAAGTAGTAAATGTGATGAGCATGTATCTGGCTGCTATTATAAATTAGTAATAGTAGATGGAAGAGTAGGAGTATTAGTAGTAGGAGTAGTAGGAGAAGCAGTAGGAGTAGCAGTTGCAGTAATCGCAGCCTGGTATGTTTGTGCAGTTTAGTAGTTAAGCTGTGAAGTACATCTAGTAGCTTTAGTTAATAATAATATTGAAAATAAAACTGCAGTAGAAATGTATTAGCAAATAGAACAGTACAAATAGGCTGTAATTAGTAGGAGCACAAATATTTTTATTGTGATAGTATCAACATTTAGTAGTTGGCCTATAGTAGTAGACATAGCAATTTTAGTAACACCAGTAAAAGTAAATGTAGTGATGGTAGTTGCATGTACACTTTATACAGACTCTAATAGTCTTCTTCCTCTCCTTTTTAGCTGAGTTCTTGTTCCTGTTGTGGGCCGTGTACCTGTGCTACGCTGTTCGGACGGTCCCCTCTGCGTTCCACGAGCCACGATACATGGCCATCGCCGTGCACAACGAGCTGGTGCTGTCCGCCATCTTCCACGTCATCAGGTACACAAGCCAACCCAGATAAATGTTTATTTATTCAGGACATAGTTTAAAGGTTTTGTTGTTTTATTTCATTCATTCTTTGAGTAATTATAGTATATTATAGTATATTATAGTATATTATTTTCCATCTCGTGATGTCATGTAGTGATAGTTTTCAAGTTAACAGCTCCTTTTACCATTTGTTCAGTAGAGATTGCCAATTCCAGACCTGAAATCATCCAAAATAACCTTAAAACAGATCAGAAAATGGTGTAATATGGGCCCTTTAAAGTTAGCCCTGTGGCTGACAGGGTGGCTCGCTTCACAGAAAGAAGGCACCAGGTTTGACTTCCTGGCACCAGGGGCCCTTTTTGTGTTGAGTTTGCATGTTTCTCCCTTTGCACGGGTCGACCTATAAACAGCATATCAGGCAAGTTCTTCAGCTAAAGTACCCCTGACCAAGCTTAGATCAAGTTCTCCAGCTGAAGTACCCCTGACCAAGCTTAGATCAAGTTCTCCAGCTGAAGTACCCCTGACCAAGCTTAGATCAAGTTCTCCAGCTGAAGTACCCCTGACCAAGCTTAGATCAAGTTCTCCAGCTGAAGTACCCCTGACCAAGCTTAGACCACGCAAGATGGGAGGTTATTGCTCCTGTCAAATGATTTGCCCCAGTGGGATTTAAAAAATGTATTAAATGCTGGAACAATAAAGTATCCCTTACCTTAAACTACCTAATAAAGAAAACATTATTCCAACATACTATTCATCACAGTGCTTGCTATTTGCTTAGGGTGACCAGACGTCCCTACCAGTCCCATAGTCCCAGTTTTGAGCCCTGTGTCCCCTGTTCCAGTGGATTTATCCAAAATCTGTGATTCATTCCAGTTTTGTACAAGAAATATCCCTTTTGACCAATTTGATACCTTCCAACATTAAAGAGAGGCATAAATTGTCATTTGTTTAGCTAAAATTACGAAAAACACAAAGAAAATGTGACTATACTGACACATATTAGTCATAAGTGGGCTAAGTGCATAACAGTTTTCCTTAATTATGCATTCGTTTCACATGTTTATTATTACCAAACACCCCAAATTAAGGGTGTCCTAGTTTTTTGTTTTAAAAATCTAGTCACCCTATACTTTTTTAAAATTTTACTAATTACAGTCTTATTCAGTCTGTAGCGCTCAGCAGTGTACTAGTTGATAAAGTAAACATAGACATAAGGCTTCAGATGCATTTGTAACTAACTTCCATAAACTAGGCTACTACATTATTTAGTCAAAACAAATACTTCAGGTCTACAACTTAAAACAAAGTATTTAAAGTGGAGTAGCTGATTTTTACAGTCTTAAAAATGTGAAAAACAGTACAGGTTCATTTTAGTTTTGCAGAGGTCCTAAGTTAAACCTCAGTTACCTTATTCATTCAGTGCATCCTAATTATTCACCGCAGTGAGTAAAACTAACAAGAGCTAGCATACTAAGGTGGACTTCCTGATTATTGCGCAGCAAAACGCTTTATAATTAGTTGCAGACAGCGTACAGAAGACATATTTTGACTTTAAGATCTGCTTATACAATATATCTGTACTGAGACAAGACAAATCTTGCTCAAATACATGGGAAAAAATAGTCGCAGGCCCTTTAAAAACTGCTGCTGACTTTCTAATACCATTTGTCGACAGCGCTAATAATTTGCAACGTATTATTCAGGTGTTCCAATTTCTGTACAACACTCCAATTGTGTATCTTCACTTCCTCGGCCCCGTGTCTTCCTATAGCGACGCAGACACATAATAAATTGGGGTAGGTGTTAGCTGTCATCGGACCAGCCGGTCTTAGGGGACCTTATTGTGCTGCGCGGGCTTGTTAGTAGCATCCAGCGCCAGATTCCTCCCAGCCTAGACTGCTCCTTTTGATCCCTCTGTGACCAGTTAAACCCTCAACCTCCGTGCGAGTTGGCGTAGTTCTCGGAATAGTGCTAGGTCAGGTAAAAAAAATGGGGGAAATGACAGCAGAGGTAATGTCTGGAAGGCACGCGCTCGACTGGTAGCATAAGTCCTGATGTAGATTAACTAATGGCTGCAAATTGGAGCTAGCATGTCAAATATATTAAAGTGTGACAGCTTTTCTTGTTTTTCAAATGATTACTAGGTTTGGTGAGACAGAAGCAAATATTTATCATAGTTATACATCAGTTAAATGGCAGTTTGTGGAAAACAAGTGGAGAAAAGTGCAAAAAAAAAAAGAAGTTACACTGAAAATTCAATCCAAAATGCAGGGACAATGTACTCTCAAAGATTACAATGTTCTGTCAATTTAAAGATTAATTTAACCAGATAAATATACAGTCATGTATTTATGTCTGTCAAATTATAACTGTGGTGTGAATTAGACTAAACTTTGCTGGACTAACTTCCGGTTAATGCTTTTCTATAGCAAAATATCTGTGGAAATGTCTTGCCTACACTCCACCAGCCACATAAATCTGCCCCATCACCAAATCTTCAACCAACAAGGTCCACAAAGGATAAACATTCTTCCATGAAGAATTTATCCACAACTATCAAGGGAAGAAAGACAAAAACGTATAGTGAACTACTGAGCAAAACTAATGAATGATGAAACATAAGTAACTTGTTCACTCAGACTGATTCTACAGTTAAAATAAAAAATAAAACAGAACAGATTCTTTTCAAACAACTTGTGACATCCTCATCATCATCCAGGGTATATATCACAAGACAGTCATTATTAAAAAGTCATACTATGAGCTGATTTAATGCACATTTTTTGAATTTGAATTCAACACTCATTTAACCTGTGATGTACAAACGTGGACAAAATTGTTGGTACCCCTCTGGTAAGGAAAGAAAAATCAACAATGGTCAATGATCAGTGTTTTTTTTTTTTATAATTACTGTCTTGTAATATATACCCTGGATGATTATGAAGATGTCACAAGTTGTTTGAAAAAAAATCTGTGACATACATCACAAGTTAAATGATTGTCTGTGAATGTGTCGAATATTCAATATCCAATATCAGACCAATTCAACAGCGGTTCAAGATGTTGATATTAACATAGATAGATTGATTTGTGCAGTTTGAATGCTACACATCTCTAGCATACCATAAGGTTAGTTTTGCTCAGTAGTTCTTATAAATTCTTTATGGAAGAATGTTACTCCTTTGTCGACCTTGTTGGTTGAAGTTTTGGTGATGGGGCAGATTTACGAAGCTAGTGAAGAGCAGGGGAGACATTTTCACAGACATTTTGCCTTTGAAAACCATTAATCGTTAGTACCCACAAACCCTACAGCGGGGCACTTCTGGCCGTTGTGAAAAAGGTCTATTTATTACCCATGTCCAAATAGGAAGTAAAATTATAGGGAAGAATATGCAGGATTATTGGTAAAATCTTAAATATTGCTAACACATAGCCTAACATGTTTAGATCACCATGTTACCTGCTTTTGTCAGTTTGAAAATGCTATATTCAATGAAAACAATATATTAACATGTTTTAAGTCACTCCTCCTTTAGAGCACACAATACATCCAGTTTGTCAAGTTGTTGTGTACAGTTTTGTATTATGCTTTTGTATGTTTAAGAACTGTAGTATTGAAGCACGGGTGATGAAGGCTTTTTGACTGAGCATTGGACAGAATCTTACAGCTAACCGTAAAGGGGGTCCAATAGGGCCCAGATAAGATCACTTAATTAGTGAAACATTTAAAATCTCTTCACGCATGTTTTGCCTTTTCCCAATGTTGATAAAAAACTAAAAATTAAAATTAAAAAATCACATAATACCCCCTCTTTGACTATGTTTTAAAGAAAAAGTGAAGTCTACCCTGTCATATTTACTTTCAATATTTATCTATGTTAGAATAGAGGAAAAAACTTCAAAGACATTTCACATGCAGTACTTTAGCTATTGTTCATGTTGTCAAGCTGTTATTGCGGTAACTGTTAGCTAATTAGCTGTTCGACAACCTTTTTGGTAATGTCTGTGACAGCTTGTGTTCTACAATAGTCTATTGATCCCGTGGGGCAAATTTGTCCACTCCACTGAACCATCCCTGTCCGCTGTTGTAACCTGTCAGCACCACAGCGTCTGGGGGCTCATCTCCAGATGTTGAGCTGGGCCTGGTCAGGGCTACCTTAGCTGGAGGATTTTGCCTATTTGTGCATTTTTTGGGATTGATGGGAGAAACCAGAGAGGAGAGAGAGGAAGCCCACTCAGAAATATGCAGACGTGTGCACAGCCACAAGGGAATTGAACCTGGGACCTTGTTTCTGTGAAGGATCCCTGTTCTATTTATTTTTAATGAAGACCTCTTTGGGCTTCACTACTGTAATGCAGAAATGAAATAAGGTTGGTTCTAAATAGTCGGGTCCAGAGTAGGGTTGTCAGAAGAACTGAAATCAGATACTAATCGATACTAAAACTAATGTCGAAACTAGATACGCATTTGCGCATGTAACACAACACAAAAACAGTATATGTTATTCGTTCTTTTTTCAGACCAAGAGTTTGTTTTCATACCTGACAGTTTGGACTGCTCACTAGCGCTCTTCCTTAGAGTGGTCACATGTCCGGTCAGCTGATTTATACACGTTTTGTCACTGTCTGTAAAAGAGAGAACCACATTATGGACTGGAACAGAACAAACATCACTGGGACAGAGGAAAACAAACAACGTTGCTGAATTAAAGAGGCAAAATATGGAAACGTGCCCACAGAACTTGCCGAAAACCTGTTTAAATCAGCTGACTGGACATGGCACAGCAACATCACATCACTCTGAGGAAGACAACTAATGAGCAGTCAAAACTGTCAGGTATGAAAACAAACTCTTGGTCTGAAAAAAATAACCTAATCACATATACTGTTTTCATGTTGTGTTACCTGCTCAAATGCGTATCTAGATTCGACATTAGTTTTAGTATCGATTAGTATCTGATTTTCAATTCTTTTGACCACCCTACTCTGGACCTGACTATTTAAAACCAACCTTATTTATAGATAACATAATAACATAAATTATCGGAAGACCAAATGAACATCATTGGACTACGAAAACAGTATGTACTCAAGCTCAGTTTGAACTGAACTGGTTACCTTCTGGTTAGGGGTTGAATGGTAAACCCACTGCTACTATTAACCCACCTGTAGTCTGTACCAAAATTATACTTTTAAGTTGTTTTTTTTTCATGTATTTGTATGTATGGAGCGAACTGGAGATTCTACTCAGTCTGAAGCTCTGTTACTCAAGTCAGACTTATCTGAGCTTTGTTTTAACACATCTGACCGTAAAGAACTGAATTATTTAGGTTACATTCAGACTGCAGGGCTTAATGCTCAATTCGGATTTTTTTGTGGAATCCATTTTTTTTGCAAGGTCGTTCACATTTCCAATTAAATGCGACTTGTATGTGATCTCCAGTGTGAACTTTAAACACCCCAAAAATGTCCTGGATGCACATTGGAGGACACGACGAACAACACGCAGCGAGCATGCTCACTGTTTACTGAAGTCACCAAAACGCTGAGCTTGTCTTGCAAAATATGGTCAAACATCCACAGCTGCTTAGTCTGTTTGAGTCTTTAGCCTCCTTGTATTTGGCTTGTGGGCTCTTTATTTTTCGTTGACACTGGAGCCAGAACTGCCTGTAGCCATCCTCAGACATTTCTTTGGCAATCATTTCAGAAACCACCCGGTTCCGATAAGACCCCTCCAGTTTGATACAGCAATCCCCACAAATATTAATGAATTCACTAACCTCACTTTCCTTCCATTAACGAGACTCTGAGCCTGACATGTAGGTGGGATGAATGAGACCTGGCCGTTCAGACTGAAGTCGCATGTCAAATGATTGGATATGTATCGATTTTAGGAGCACATATCCAAGTGATCTGGGTCACATTTGAAAAATCGAATCTGTGTCGTTCAGACTGTCATTAAAAGATCAGATACAGGTCACACAGGGGAGAAAAAAAATCGGATTTGGGTCACTTCACGCTGCAGTCTGAACGTAGCTTCAGTTTTCACTCACTCTCACCTTTTTTTGTTGAAAATCAAACTCCTTAACAGAACCATTAACACTCATATGGATCACAGGCTCCTGAAAATGTGTCGTTTAAATCCACTTTGTATTATTTTGTAGAGTTTTACGAAAAACTAAAAACTTATCAGGCTGCACATTGTGTCACCATGGCAACTGCTGAACATTTCACCATAGACATACATGCAGAATGATGTCACTGCAAACTATCACTTTTACAATTCTCCTTTCTAGTTTTAGTTTTGTACTTGTGTAACCACAACAGTACATTTCTATACTGCTTGAATCTACAAGAAAATTCACTTTACTACAGCAAAACTCTACCTTTTCAAATTTTGTTTACTTTCTTTTTATTCCCTTTCTTGCCCAAAATCTAAAGCCTTAAGATTACTCCTCAGTGAATAGAAAGTAGGAAGCCATCTTTGCCCGCGCTCGCTGGGGTGGAACATTATCTGAGTGTGAGTGGAGCGTTTGAATTGACGCCTGGACAGACAGTGTATAAATTTGGGCTGGCAGAAAGCACGTTAAGTCTCTGGCTCCATCTGTATCTGCTGCAGACGGAGGAGCATGTGAAGAATACCAGCCCAGCGCTTAGTCACAGCCCGCCAAGCTTGTGTACTCTTAGAATGTGATCATCGTCTCTTAGGAATTCTCTGCAAAAACTTACAAAAAAACAGGAGGCAACACTTTATAATTATTGGATTGTTAATGGGATTTAATTAACAATTATAAGAATTTTGGCACTGAAAATATGGCTGAACAATAAAATTACAAAAAATCTAATTGCAGTCTGATTTCTGTGATGATATATTAGGTCAGCCTCTAAAAGAAAAGCTTTAATTGCACTAAAATTGTAGAAAAATGTGTCCTTACTCTGAGCATGCTTGCATCTCCACAAACCTCCTTTTGTTTTGCTTGTCTCTATTTAAAATGTCCCTTGGCTACGATATTTCACAGTATGGCATAATACTGTCATGAAGAATGTTTTGAAATATGGTTTTGACTTTTTATTTCCATGGAATTAACTAGATGAATTTATTTCTTAGCTTCTAGTTGCCAAATGCTACTTAGTGATTTGTTGCCGTCATCAAACTCGAGTTAGTTATGTTTGGATAAATCATTAGATTCTGGATGACAAAAGATGAAGCTTTTATGATCTTAGATTATAAAATGATGTCTGTATGTAAAATACCGTAGCTAAAAAGAAACATTCTAATCTTGACATTGTTCTTTCTCTGGTGCTGCAGGTTCACTCTGGCCCCAGAGCTTCATCCAGACTGGATGCTTCTGCTCTTCTTCACACACACACATCTGACTGTGACAGTGACTCTGGGCCTGCTGCTCGTCCCAAAGGTACATGCTACTTTAAACTCCGACAGAACAACTTCAGTATTTACTCCAAGTACACATGTAAATATGAACAGATTTCATAAGTAACATTACAAAGTACACATGTAAATATGAACAGATTTCATAAGTAACATTACAAAGTACACATGTAAATATGAACAGATTTCATAAGAAACATTACAGTGTACACATGTAAATATGAATAGATTTCATTAGTAACATTATGGTTGGAAAAGCTCAATGCTGTCATTGTGAACACACAAATGTCACAAGAATCCATCTTGCTGTCCAAGGTTAATGCCATCTCCCAGGCAAAAACAATAGCATTTCCATATGCAACTTTAGTATTGACCTTTTTTAAAGGCGTGTCTTGCTCAAGGACACTATGAGACTATGTGCTAAGTTGAGATTTAAATGTAACTGACTGCCCTCTGGTTGTTTGACTAATGCTAAGCCAATGCTATATCACTGTAAATACTGAAAAATATCTATACAAACTTGTAAATCACTTTTTATGCTAGTATTTTTAAATTTTTTTTTTTTTCCATTCATAAATGTAACAGTAAAATATATCCAGCATTAAACATAGATATTTTGGTTGTGTCCCTTTAGTTCCTGTTTGGTGGGACTCACATGAGAGATGACATCGCCTCTGAAGCCTACGAGGACGAGCTGGACATGGGACGTTCCGGCTCCTACCTGAACAGCAGCATCACCTCTGCCTGGAGCGAACACAGCCTGGACCCCGAGGACATACGGGTATGAGGCACTGCCATCTCTCCTTTTCTCTTTAACCTGCTGATTCCTCCACAAATACTGAGCACTGGTAGTTTCTTATTGCAGACCCCAGAGGAAATGGCCCCTCACAGCTCCATTAAGAGCTGTGGCATAAGATCTTGCGAGGGTCTGTGGGAAAAACGTACCAACGTGAGCAGAGGTTTCTGTTTGTCTGTTAGAGCTGAAGAAGTCTCTCTGCACTGCAAATCACAATATCTACATGAGTTACAATGACTTCAGTCTAGAATATGGAACTTAATTTTAATAGTTTTGACTAGTTCACATTTATTTAGTTGTGATGAAGGAATCAAACGTGGAACCTTCTTGCTGTGAGGTGTGAGTGACAGCCACTCAGCCACCATGCCACAAATACCAGGCCTTAACTCTAATCTAAGATAAGCCAAAGATGGACAAAATTAATAAAATTGATTCAACAGGGACATATGAACAGTAGAGGACCGTGCGTACATGTGCCACAATTTGGAAAACACCACTTTAGAATATAAAATAATGAATGTTTGGAATACACACTTGAACAGCAAAGTCTCTATTTCCAAGAGATACAATTTGCATTAGAGCTCCCTCTGCTGACAGCAATAGACATGAGCCATGATGAACATAAATATTAGCAGACATTTAGCAACCGGCCTGTCATACATATTATACAAGTTATCTGTTCAAGAAGTTAACAGGACATTTCTTACTCCAGGAACATATATTCTTTAGAAAAAATAAAATAAATACATACACTGAAACAAATGAAAAAAAATTCCAGACCAAACAAACCAACAAATAGGTCAAAACTATTAAAAAGTTAAAGTTAATCAAGTTAAATATAATCAAGTTAAATATAATCAATTAGGGTCACGTTAATCCCTGTAGCTATCATGTTTTTGCAGTGAACCAAAATATCTGGGTCATATTTACCAGAAGGAGATGTTATCAGCTGCTTTGAGTGCATTCTCTGCTCTGGATGGAAAAAATGGATTAAGGACTTAGAGGCTGTTTCAGACCTAACATTTACAAAAACAACTATTTCCTTTTTTTAATTCTGTCCAAAACTGTCTTTAAGTTTATGATTTTATTATTTGCAGGCATGTTATTTAGTGTAGTGCAATAACTGTATGTAGTCCCATGTGATGGATTTTAGCAGCATGTTTCCTGTGCAGTAGAAGTGTAAAGTTTAAGTGTAAAGCCGGGTGTACATTTCACATTTTTAAAACTATTTGCATTATTAAAGATGCATTAACTTTCAGTGTAGAAGGTTCACACTGTGTAAAGGAAAACATTTGAATTGTGGCTATGTTTTAAGTCTCTCTGGAAGCTTGTATGATAGGGCTGTTGAGTTTAATTGAATTTTGGATTGAAACAGCAGCATTATTACATCAAAATGTCAAATAAACTACAAACAATTTCTGATATTCACCAATAATACAACTCTTACCTCTTCATTTGGTTGCATATGTACTGCAAACAATCTTTAGTTGCAGCCCCAGTCTATTCTTCCTCCGCTCTTTACCTTTGACATTTAAATATCTGATCCAAATAATCATGATTAGGATTTTTCCATATTTAAGCAGCATGTAAAAAGCTTGATAAATCAATATAGTGGAAGGAAATGGGTAGCATGTGATGTAGAGCTGCACAGTATACTGCAATGTGAGCTGGCGCCAGTGTTGTCACAGTACTAAAATCAATTCAATTGTGATTTTGATGCCACAGTGATTCTTGAAAACACTCTTTATTTAGACATTAGATTGTAATTTTCAACATATAATTATAGTACTATCTATGTAATCGCTTAAGTGTCCAGTCTATGTGCTCTTATACTTGTTCTGATTCAGCTCAAAAACATCCTAAAGCTGTTCAGGAAAGATTTCTGTCTTCTGAATGTAACTTTTTTAATATCAATAGCTGATCAAACGAGTATCTAATTTTGGTACTAGTTTTAGTATTGATTTGTATCTGTTTTTTGATAACCCTAGTTGGCACAATTATGAAATCACAAAGACTGCAGCTATTTACATAAGAGGATGTCCTCTATCTGTTTTTCCTTCCGAGTTGGTATATTTCTCTGAATGCAAAAATCATGCAGTGTACATCCGGCTTAAGGCTCAATGTTGATTACAGTTATTATAAACAATAGTAGAATATGTAAGTAATAGAAATTTTTTGTGCTTATACATAGGAGGAGCTCAAGAAACTCTACTCCCAGTTAGAAATCTACAAACGCAAAAAGATGCTAGCCAACAATCCCCATCTCCAAAAGAAGAGAAGCTCCAAGAAAGGCCTGGGTCGCTCCCTAATGAGGCGGATTACCGAGATCCCCGAGTCCGTTCACCGCCAGTGCAGCCGCGAAGACAAAGACTCTGGAGAACACGGAAGCAACCGGAACAGCATCTGCATGTTGAAGAAGAACCCGTTCGATCCGACGCATGCGGTCAAGCCCGTGAAAGAGGAACCCATAAAGAACAACGTCTTTTCCTTGAAGAAGTCGCACAGTAGCTACGATCACGTCCGTGACCAGACCGAAGAATCCAACAGTTCTGCGACGGATAAAACGGAGGTTACGACAGCCGAAGGATCGCTCTTGGAGACACTCATGGGCAAGAAGCTGGTGAAAAGGAAGTCGAATGAGAATGTTAATGTTCCAAGTGAATCCACAGAATCGGTTCCGTTGGTGTGCAAGTCGGCGAGCGCGCACAACCTGACTGCAGACAAGAAGCCCATCCATCCGAGGCCGTCCATGTTGCAGAAGTCCCTCAGCGTCATTGCGAGTGCCAAAGAAAAAACTCTTGGCCTTACCGGGAAGATACAAAGTGCGGAAGACAGCAATAAAAAGACCCAGCCAAAAACCAAGGATGTAAAAAGCACCGCAGAACCAGATATTGAACCCAAGATGGTGAGCCAGTCTACTGAAGCTAAACCAAGTGTAACCAAGAGTTGTATGGCCAAACCGCAGATCAGCAGTAGCCAGCCGGTAATGTGTCCCGATCCTGTTAAAGCAAAAGAATTCTACGATCTTTCCGAAGTTTGTCCTTGGGAGGTGGAAGAAGTCCACACTCCGTCGGAAAACAGGGTCCAAAAGCACGTGTCTATAGCACCAAAAGAAACCACCACAGTTCATGGAGGAGCTGTAAAAACAGGCAAAACGCAGCAGCAGAAAAAGAAAGGTTCAGATGCCCAACCAAATGTTGGAGTTACAAAAGAACTTCAGAGGACTTCAGCCATGCGAGCAGATATCTGTCCGTGGGAGGATACAAGTGAGAGTAGTCAGTTGACCAAGCAGCAAGGACCTGCTCAATCAACCGGTCAACTTGCGAAGCCTCTTTTACCCACAGAAAGCACCGTCACTAAGCGGGCAGATGTTTGTCCATGGGATTTTGACGATCCGCAAAAGACTTCAGAGCGAGTGAGTTCAACGGACGCATCGAAAAAACTAAAAGGATCATCTCCTGTGGAACCGAAAGGGAAAAGCGCTCTTTGTGAACCTTCAAAGACAGCAGGGTCCTTCCAGCTACCAACATCCAAGATCGACGTTTGTCCTTGGGATTACGACGCCAACACCCTTTCACCTAAATCCGAACAAACACCTAGCCCATCGAGAGGCAAGGAGTCGCCTTCAAGAAAGACAGGCAGCCTTGCGCCAAGAACTGTTGAAAAATCAAAAGACAGTGACGAGGAGAAAAGTAGACTGAAAGCTCAGGACAAGCTCAGATCTACGGAGAAGCATGCCGTCAGCCAGCAGAAGATGGCTGATGTATGTCCCTGGGAGGTCGAGAGCGAGGAGGTGCCCCTAGTGGAGAAGAGGAGGAGCACGAATTTAGGGGCAGCCAAAGCGAAGGCGGAAGTGTGCCCGTGGGAATTCGAGGACGCTAGCCAAAACACAGGCAGAGACAGAAGCTCTATGGGGGTCCGGCAGAGCACACCCAGTCCTAGCGCAGCGAATAAGGCCGAAGTTTGCCCGTGGGACTTCGATGACAGCACAGCAACTAAGAAAGCATGACACTTATAGCGTAGAGGACCAATGAAATGATAGTTGTTGATGTATGCTTTTTTTCCACAGAGATATTTACCTTACCTTTTACTATTGTAGGGTGACTTGGAAGAAAAATTGACCCACAAGTTGCCTTCCTTTTTGAGGTTTTGTTCCTGTTGTGGATGATGAGTGAAATGTACAAAACATGTCAAGCATTCCAGATTATTACGGGAAAAAATATATTGTAGACTAATTATGCAACTTATGATTCGCCTTCATGTATATTCCGTATTATATAAAAAATTCTGGTCTGCATCATAAGTTCTTTAGGTAGGGGCATGAAAATATATGGATGTATATGAACTCTTTAAAGATGAAATACATACAAAAAACGAAAGCCAAAGAATTAGCGGGAAGGATGTCAACGATTTGTTAGCCTGCTAGCTAGCTCTAAACTGGAAATCCACCATTTTGCACTTTAGCCAGCGCTAGATTCTTGTACATTTAGTTTAGTCTTTTTATTTTTTCATGGCATGATCTTGAAAAGCATATCCTCCAAATGTACTAAATGTATTTATTTTTGTATTTTTTATGTATTTATTTGAGATCTTCTTAATTGTAGTTCCTGGCAGTTTTAATGTTTCAGAATCTGCCAAAGTGTACTGTACGTGCCTAAGTACTTTGTCTCGTAATAGTCTGATTTGGAGCGGGAGGCTTCCAATTGTTTCTTAATTTTTGTATTTTTAATTTTTATATGTGTGAAATTATGCTATCAAACAGCATGCACAGCCAGAGTAGACAGACCTTTAAGAAAATAATGCTACGGTCAATTTTTAAATCCAGAAATATTAGCCTGTAGCTTTCATATCTTCTCACAGTTTGAATCAAAAATCTAAAGTTAGTTTAAGTACTGCACATGGATAGATAGAAAACTGCACTGAATTTGCCTTTTGTTTTTGGTGTTGCATTTTGTATGAGTAGTCTTTTCCTAGTTCTTCTTTACATTCCCGACATCTGTATGAAATCAAGGTTTGATTAGCTAACACATTTCAAACAGCTAATTAGGCTAGTTTATGAGCACAGAATTGTTTTTAAATTCAAAACTTTTAAGTAGAAAACATATCCAAACTGCAACAACGGACTGCCATTTCCTTGCTAACCATAATTAGAATAGTTAAATCCAATCAAAAGTAGCATGTAAGATACAGTTTTAGCAAAAATCTAGTGTCCACAATCAGGCAAGTGTCAGTATCATTTGAATAGCTAACTGCACAGCTGCGCCCATGTGACGGATCAAGTGTTATTGACAAAATTTTAAGAAAGTTCCAGCTAAAAAAAAAAACTAAAAAAAAAGGACTTTTGTAATTTTACATGTATCAAAAAATACTCCTAAAGAGCATGTACCTGATTTTTTATTAAAAGTAGCAATTTGCGGAAAAAAAAAAGAGAATATGAGAATATTACTTAATGCCTATAAATATTAACTGGCATTTTTGATGGGGGAGAACCATAAAGAAGCAACTGCTGGAGACAGGCAGTTTTATCCAGTTTTATGGGAGAGAACCATTTGGAAATAACTGCCTGTGACTGTTCTAGACAGTAGGCTCGTTTCACGCTTACATGAGAAACCAGGAAGACGCTTGGAAACATGCTATGACAACTTCTGTTAAGTCTGACAAAATCTAGGAAAAATTAGAAAATGTCCCAGTTTTCTTCATCTCCATGTCATTGTGTGTTCCTTTACATTAGACTAATCAACAATTACAACCACACCTCAGTTTTCATACATGCGATTAGAAGAGATGAGGCACCAAATTCAATTTTTTTCCAAAACAGCACATACCACATTTTTTGGACTATAAGTCGCTCCGGAGTATAAGTCGTACCAGCCAATAAATGCGTAATGAAGAAGAAAAAAACATATATAAGTCGCACCAAACTATAAGTCACATTTTTGGGGGGAAATTTATTTTAGAAAATCAGAGACCAGGAACCGACATTTCATGTTGAAAGGCAAGTTACAGTAATAATAATAGAACGGAGTACAACAGATTGTTAACATCACATATGAACAGTTCTTCAGATAAATATAACATAAACAACAGAACAGAACAAGTTTACCAAACTCTCCATCTCACTCCAAATCACTAAATCCATTCAATTCTTCATCCTCTGTGTCACTTCTGAGCAACTCTGCCACCTCCGGAGCTGTCGTCAGACTCAGCATCAGTTTCTGTTAGAATTATTCTGGTCTTTCTGAATCCCGACAGGATGTTTTCGGTTGTCACTGAAGTCCAGGCTTTGTCCATCCATCCAGTGACTTCCAGGAAAGTTGATGGACCAACCTGGTTCCACAAGTTTCTCGCTCGCTCCAAACTTTCTGCTGCTTGATTATCATACTTGCAGCTTGTAATCTGCAAAATCTGATTTTCTTTGAGGGGCATTTGTGTTCAGTCTTCTCAGTTGTCTTTATAAGTTTGTTTAAATGTTCAGTGGTATACAAGTAATGGTGCGATCGACTGACATGATACAGACAGGACAGAGGCTCTTTTTGCAGGAGACATGCGCAGTAGAGCCAAGTGACAGTACATATGCAGTCTTCATTTTACCACTGATCACATTTACTTCAGTGGGTTTGATCACGGTCGGCGAGCTCATTGTCGGTAACTGCACCGGAAGTTGACATCGCATTGTTTCCAAACGTCTTCCTGGTGTGAATAGAGCCTGTTGTTTCACTGTGTTGGTTCAACATCAAAGTGGGCGTGGCTTACATTTCATTGAATCATGAAATATGTTTTTTGCTCATGGTTCAAAATCGGGTATAGGACCTTTAATGATAACACAGCTTTTTAGTTATCACATTATAACTTTTCAAAATACACGTTTGACAAGAATTGTAATACATTCTCTATCATTAGATTATAAAAGTAGCAGTTACTACTTCTCACTTGTCTAACCGAATTTTCATAATCCATATAGAATTATATTGAAACATGAACCGTCCAGTTGAATTTCAGACACCTGCCAGTCTGCCTTGTGTGGTCAAATATGAAATAACTGAACCTTGTGAGGGTTTTGTTCTGTGTTTTGTATCAAAATGTCTAATTCCCAATCCAAGAATCCCTGCACATTTGACAGTGAAAGCAGTCGTACACGCTGTATGGTCCATGTATGTTGTCCTTCAGTGTTGTCTATTTGTCAATGTCAGATTTCTAATATTTGTGATGGAATTGTTAGTGGGGCCCATCATTCTAATTCACATTTTTCGTTTACCGATTCACTGCAAAAAATATCACTTATTTCGGTTTTGGATTTAAAATTTTTGGACTAATATTCTTTGACTTGACAATATTTCATTCTGACTGTCTTCAAACCCATTTTAAATTTGAGGAGAATTATAATGCTATTTTCTCATTTGCAAATTACTTTTTAAAATTAAACCCTGCGGCTGTGTTTGCACTTGTCCTGGTTTGACCCTGGTTCAGTCCTGATGTAGACTTGGTTTGGTCCTGGTTTAGTCCTGGTCTAGTCTATGTTTAGTCCCAGTGTTTAAGTGATTTTGGCCCTGTTCTAGTTTTGGTTTAGTCCTGGTCTAGTCCATGTTTACTCCCTCTGTTATGTGATTTGTGTGCAAGTGTAAACATAACCTAAGAAACTAAGCTAAAAACAAATCAGTTAATTTAAACGTAACAAATTACATAATGCCAACTAAACTCAAATAAAGTCTCTAAATTCAATCCATTTCAACCTTTTGGTAAAACTTTATTATAACTAAACCACAGTCTCAATAAATCATGAAGAAAGACAATTCATAATGAACAATAGTTAAATAAGACTGATTTGGGCTTACTTAATAATAAGTTAATAGTTAATTAAGGGGTTAGAGTGAGGAGTTAGCGTAGACTGTACATATAAATGGACATAGCTAACCTACTAAGTGTCACTCTCCATATAGGAAGTGAGCATGGGCGCATTTCCGGCTCAGTCGGTTCTGGCTCTAATTGATTTTGTATTGAGAAAATGTTGGCCGTCTCTCTGTAACTGCTGCTGTCAGACTCCTCATTTTGGTCTTAAAATGTTTGTATTAACCCGCTCTACATGATCCTGGAGTTTTTATTTCAATATTTTGTTCATAAATCAAGGTATGGACATTAATAGCAGACAAATCAGGCACCTTCTGTTGCCAAAGTCGATCCTGCTAGTGTTAGGAGCAGGTTTGATTGACAGCGTTACTAACCCTGCATTTGATTATCCTTCCCAATCAGTTTTCTGAGGAAGTTGCCTAGTGACACGTGTGACACGCCCCTTTTCCTGGGATGGTGCGATCTCGGTGGCAGAAAAAGTAGACTGAACAAGGATTCTGAGTCAGAATCCATGATGGCTGTGCCCACTGTGACATGTAAATATGAAGTGTTTTCATTGTGTTTGGACATTTTGGTGGTTTAAATGACTATTTCAGTCATTCTTATTATTGCAGTACTTTACCGCATCCGTATCACTGCCTGTGGGTATGGTAGTCGGGTGTTGTGGTGAGGCCAATATTGAACAAATACTTGATTTAACGGCCAGAGAAATCATAATATAAAATGAAGTGCAAATTTCAAAAAGTAAATTAATTAAAGTGGCAGCGTTTTCATTAAATAAGGGAATAGTCATAATCATAATCCACATAGTCTGACACGTGAAACATAAGCTCCAAGTGGGAGTCGGAAGATAAATCAAACACAGGGTAAGCACCCGCTCCCTGCTAAACCAGAGGTGTGGATGGGAAGGGGCGTTACCATCAACACCCTAACTCCGGACTGGCTCTTCGGTTACTATGATACTTGTGGTCGGACATCCAAATATAGAATTCGGCTCCAAATTTGCCCCTATAACTACCAGCCTCGATGAGCTTCATTTGACTGGTGCTGAACGCTATGGTTGACGTCTCTTGGTCCACCTCTTTATAAATCTATGAGTGTTAGGGTTAGGCACAAACAATACCAATATCTCGAGGTTTGGACATAAGCCTCACTTGACTACAA